GGGAAAATCCTCTAATCATCTCTCAATTCCAGTTCGATTAACAATACAGGAACAAGTGTTTGATACTATAGCCTTTATTGACTCTGGAGCCGCTGGAAATTTCATGTCTAAATCATTCGCCGAACAATGTAACGTCAAATTGAATCCATGTCATTCTCTTCTAACAGTGGAAGCGCTAGATGGACACCCCATCGGAGAGGGAAAGATCCAATGTATTACTGCAAACATTAGGATGGACATTGGATCTCTGCATTCGGAAAACATCCAATTTTACGTCATTCACGCACCTCTTCACTCTATCATTCTGGGATATCCATGGCTCCGGACTCATAACCCTCAGATCTCCTGGAGAGAAGGTGAGATTATCCGCTGGGACGAAACCTGCCAGAATCACTGTTTAACCAAGGTCACCAGAATAATCCAGTCCATTTCAGCATCCTGCACGAAAATACCCGAACTCGAATCATTACCCCCCAACTATGCAGATCTTACTGAGGCATTCAGTAAAGAAAAGGCGTCGCAACTTCCCGAACATCGTCCCACTGACTGTGCCATGGATTTGATTCCCGGTGCCACTCCCCCAAAAGGGAGAATTTTCCCGTTATCCAGACCTGAGTCCGAGGCCATGAAACAATACATTGAAGAAGAACTCGCTAAGGGTTTCATTCGTCCATCAACTTCACCTGCCGCAGCCGGGTTCTTCTTCGTAAAGAAGAAAGACGGAGGACTCAGACCCTGCATTGACTATCGAGGATTAAATGATGTAACAGTCAAATACCGCTATCCACTGCCTCTTGTTCCTGCAGCATTAGAACAGCTTCGACAAGCCAAATATTATACCAAGCTCGATCTACGCAACGCTTACAACCTGGTTCGCATCCGTAAAGGGGACGAATGGAAAACTGCTTTTTCTACCACTAGTGGGCACTATGAGTATTTGGTTATGCCTTTCGGCTTGTCCAACAGTCCTTCAGTCTTCCAGGCATTCATGAATGATATCTTCCGAGATATGCTGGACAGATGGGTGATCGTTTACATTGATGACATCCTGATCTATTCCAATTCATTTGAGGAACACGTCCAACATGTCAGATCGGTCCTTCAACGATTAATTCAATTTCATCTATACGCCAAGATGGAAAAGTGTGAGTTTCATCAAACCAGCGTCTCATTCCTGGGATATATCATCAGTCAAGATGGGGTCGCGATGGATGAGAAGAAGGTGAGGGGAGTAGTGGATTGGCCACTACCTCAAACAGTGAAGGAACTACAAAGATTCCTGGGCTTCGCAAACTTTTACAGAAGATTCATCAGAAACTTCAGCTTAATCACCGCCCCTCTAACCGCCCTAACCAAACGACACACATCTCGCATTTCATGGAACACCGAAGCACAACAGGCCTTTCAAGAACTCAAGAAACGTTTCACTACTGCACCCATTCTGCGTCATCCGGATCCTGAACGCCAGTTCATTGTCGAAGTGGATGCTTCTAACACAGGGGTGGGGGCCATCCTCTCACAGCGTCAAGGGAATCCAGCCAAGATGTTTCCGTGTGCCTTCTTTTCCCGTAAACTCTCCCCAGCCGAACGCAACTATGATGTGGGCAACCGTGAACTACTAGCCATGAAGTTAGCATTGGAAGAATGGCGTCACTGGCTGGAAGGGGCAACCGAACCATTCATCGTACTCACAGATCATAAAAACCTGGAATATCTACGATCAGCCAAGCGCCTCAATCCCCGCCAAGCCAGATGGGCTCTCTTCTTCACGAGATTCAACTTTACTGTTACTTACCGTCCCGGATCCAAGAATACCAAAGCTGATGCTCTCTCTCGTCAAACTGAAGAGACGAACTCCAGTCACAACCCAGAAAAGATACTCGGTGAGAAATTACTACTAGCTCCTGTTCAGTGGGATATCATGACAGAGATTCAGAACGCCAATGTCCAAAACCCAGCACCGATTGAATGTCCCGCCAATCTCCTCTTTGTCCCAGATGCCTTGCGATCCCGTCTCCTGGATCAAGTCCACTCTAATCCCAGCTCTGGTCACCCTGGAATCAACGCCACAATTCATCTGCTCCAGAACCGGTTTTGGTGGCCTACCATTACTTCAGACACCATAACCCACATCCGAAACTGTACTGAGTGTCAAACTTCAAAATCACCTCGAACACTACCCTCTGGTCTTCTCTGTCCTCTACCCACACCACAACGACCCTGGTCACACATAGCCATTGACTTCATCACCGATCTCCCGAATTCCCAAGGCTACACTACCATCCTCACCATAGTAGACAGATTTTCTAAAGCATGTCGACTGGTCCCCCTCACTAAACTTCCCACAGCTCTCGAAACTGCCGAAACTCTATGTAATCAAGTCTTCCGTTTTTATGGTTTACCCGAAGACATCGTGTCTGACCGTGGACCCCAATTCACCTCCCGAGTCTGGACTGCATTCTTCAAGAACCTCAATGTGAACATCAGTCTTACCTCCGGGTACCATCCACAATCCAACGGTCAAACCGAACGCCTCAATCAGGACATCATACGTTTTCTACGCACCTACTGTCAGCAACATCAGGAAGAATGGAGTAGATATCTATTCTGGGCCGAATATGCTCAAAATTCCCTCGTCAAACCAGCAACCGGCATTACACCGTTCAAATGCATCCTTGGATTCCAACCACCTCTATTTCCCTGGTCCGGTGAACCCACAGAACTCCCATCTGTCACGGAATGGCTTCAAAAGAGTGAGGAGGTTTGGGATCAAGCACACACTCATCTGCGGCATGCAGTACGGCGCCAAGAGCATCAGGCCAACCGTCATCGTCGTCCAGCTCCCGAATACCAGGCGGGCCAATGGGTATGGTTGTCCACCAAGGATCTTCGACTCAGACTTCCATGTCGCAAGCTCAGTCCCAGGTATGTTGGTCCCTTCCAAATTTTAAGACAAGTTTCACCTGTATCATTTCGATTAGACCTGCCCGCTAACTACCGCATTTCTCCCACCTTTCATGTGTCTCTGTTGAAACCCGCTGGTGGTCCGAGGGGAGAAGCGGAGGAGGGGGCTGCCTCCCGGGGCCCTCCTGCCTTTCTGGTTGACGGCGAGGAGGCGTACAAGGTGCACAAGTTGCTGGATTCCAGACGTCGGGGTAACATTCTCCAGTATCTGGTCGATTGGGAGGGGTACGGTCCGGAGGAGCAGTCCTGGGTCAACTCAAGAGATATCCTGGACCCCACTCTCACGGAAGAGTTTCATAGGACATATCCGGAAAAACCGGCCCCTCGACCCCGTGGGAGACCCCGACGACATTTGCCTCCTCGCGTCAGGAGCCGCTCGCAGGGGGGGGGCTCTGTTACAATGGAGGCTCCCGCTCCGCCTCCTCTCCGCCACCAGAGGGAGCCTTCACCAGAATATTGACCATTGGCTTTGAACTCAAATTCCCATCATACCTCTTACCTGGGACTGATTGCGTCACACACCTGCACCGCATTAGCACACACACATAAAAGCCACTTCCACACACCACACCAGTGCGAAGTCTTGATTTGCCCCGGTGATCATTTCTGAGCGTTTATACCCCTGATTCTGATTCTCTGGTTTTGGACTTTGGACTGTTTGACTCCCTCTCGATTGATATCTGCCTGGCCTGAACTCGGACTGTTTCCTGACCACGATTATTGCTGCCTGCCCCGATCTCTGCCTGTATCTTGATTATCCCGCTGTCTTGTCTGCATTGCTCTGTCTGCCCGTTTTGACCCTGCCTGTACGACTCTGTCTAATAAAAGCTGCAAATGGATTCCTCTGTTCCCTGTGGATCATTACAGTCTGTCTGTGGTATTAAGTTGTGGAATAAACTAAATAACGAATTTAAGCAATGTCCAAAAATTATCCATTTTAAAAAGATGTTCAAAGATATGATATTCCAGAGGTACAGAGAATAAATTGAATAAATCTGTAGTATGTATAAATATTGTCATGTATGGGTAACATCCTTATGTGTATAGAACTTTTGAATCAGTATTTTTTATTGAATCATTGATTTTTTATTTTTAGTTATTTGTTTAAATATGGTAGTAAGGGTATAAAGGGGTAGGAGAACATAAGTTTTACTTCTTCCTACTCCATTTTGCACGTGTAAATAGTGGGTTGTTTTTTTTTTTTTCTTCAAGTACCGGAAAGTATGGATTTTTATTTTGTTGTTCATTTTTGTTTTTTATCAATATTACTTGTTTCATTGATTATATTTTTTATTTACATGTTCAAAATAAAGATCTCAAATCAAATCAAAGTTCAGTCTGCAATAACAGAAGGAGAAACAATGCAATATTTACGGCTGCATCTTTGAAATGTGTGTGATCCCATCTCCAAATTTTAAGACTGACATGTTTATGAGATTTGAGCATTTATATATATATATATATATATATATATATATATAATGAATATAATTTATATATATATATATATATATATATATTTTTTTTTTTTTTTTTTTTTTTTCAATAACTAAAGCCTGTGCTGAAGTGTATGAATGTATGTGCTGAATCTGAGATATTTTTGTTATTGTTTTTTAATCTCTTTACAGTTTTTATGAAGTTTTAGTTTATTCCGTTGGAATTATTTTAGTACTTCAATATTGCGTTTTCTCATAAATTAGAAATGCTGGCTTGGCAACTAGCTGAAATAACTTTTTTATTTTTTTTAATTTCAGGTAATTATTATTATTTTTTGCTAAAAATGCATTAACTTTTTTTAATGATATCTAAACAGTACATGTGCATACATTTATGTTTCTGAAAACTCGATTAAAACCAAATATTCTTAATAAATCTAAAAACATAGTATAAATTATAATGCGTGTTTGACACATCCACCTTTAATATTGTGCTAAACATAGTTGTTTTGTGTTTCACAGAGAAATAAAGTTACCAGTGAAGAGATTTCAGAGAGAAGTCAGTATGGAGTCATAGATGCAGTGATAAATCTCTCTGGATCTGGACAGGTTTGTTGTGGCTGATCAGAGAGCAGTGTTACAGTGTTCAGGCCAGTGTTTCCTCAGCTCGGTGTTCATGTAGTAATAGATCCATGTGATGAAGGGAAACACAGTGATTCCCACAGCGGTGCAGATCCTCACCGAACCGACCGCACTCCTACAGGACACACACATGAAGAGTCACTGCAGAAACACATCACAGATCAGCGTTACACACCATCTTTGAGTTTTATCAGATGGTTTCCAGTACCTTCCTGAATGTCTGCACAGCAGAAGCCAGAAAACCACCAGCAGGAGTCCACCACATTCCCTAAGAGACGACAGTACACTCGTGGAGGTTTATTATTCCTATATTTCAAAGCCATCATGTTGTTCCAAACCTGTATAACTTTTATCATGATATTTTGAAAGAAGCTTCACGACTGTCAAGGTCCAAATTAATGATAGATCCATAAAGACATGGATGGATGAGTTTGGTGTGGAAGAACTTGACTGGCCCGGACCTCGACCTCATCCATCAGCTTTTAGGATTAATTGGGACAGAGACTGCTGGCCAGACGACGTTCCCACAAAAACACAACAAAATCTTGTGGAAAACTTTCCCAGAGGCTCCATATTAATATATCTATAATGCAATGTCATTAAAGTCGATGTGAAATATCTTTAGTCCATATAGTGAAGATAGATAGACAGAAAAAATCCATGTTCGTTCATACTTTTATGTTCCGCAGCAGAAGAAAGAAACTCATGCAAGTTTGGAAACGACATGAGGGTGACCAATTGAGTAAAGAGTGAACATGAAATAAACTTATATTTCAATTATTATCCTATTCTGTTGTTACCTTCCTTCTTCTTGCTGGAAAATGTCTGTAATTCCCTCCTTACGAAGTTTCCAGCCCAGAATGGCTCCAAACGTAGAGGATATGAGCACGTGCAGATCAGCGATTCTCCTCCACAATAATGACTCTGGAAAAGCACAGAACGGAAGTAGTCTTTTCATCACTTCAGCCCCTTTAATGTTTTCATTCACTGAATATCTCGCATTAGTAAATGTATATATTCTCAAGAATATTTTCTAGAAGGGTTAGGGTTACGACACCATAGTATTACACTAGGGTAAATTGTCAGTAAATAAACACTTAAATCTTGACCTAGGAAAATCAAATGTTTTTCTATGACTTGAGGGGTGAGTATAAATATGTTTTCCTAATATTTTTTGGACCAATGAAATGTATTTCTGCTTCTACTACACTAGAGGACAGCAATCGCGTCTTACTGTGATCAATGTAAAACACTGTTTACCTGTTATTTGTTGATGACAGCAAATCGAAAAACATAATCCAGCTGGAATAGCATAGCCAACCTGCAAAATTATTATGAAAAACCCACATAATACACTTCTATTTTGTTTTGTAGAAGTATAACATGTTTCTTGGTTAAGTGAATTCTGTCTTACCATCCACAAACCGGCATCTGGATCATTTATCTGACACAAACAAGAAGTTAATCTGATAATTAAATGACCATCTTTATTATAATAATCAAGATTGGCATTTAAAGATAATCTGTCAAAACCGTTGATTACCTGCACGTAAGTTGCCAACGCGAAAAACAGTGACATAAATAAATTACAAACTCTCCAGACGAGCTGAGAGGACGACACACTGATCTTGTTCGTCATTGTTTATTCATTCCAATGTATTTATCAGAACTTTTCTCTGAAATACACACTTTTGAACTTTGTATCATTTCCAGGATATGACGCAGATCGGTGCTAATCGAGCATTGTGGGAAATGTAGTTTACAACACTGCATCAGACGCGACTCGTTTAATTTCAGAATGAGGTTTCAGGTTCAGTCATTTAATAAGGACAATTTATATATTT